CCTGTGATAGGCCTCCGGTTATTACTCTATTTCCTTATTTCCAGCACCGCCCTGCGGCTTAGCCAGTCCAGGTACGTTCATGGTCAGAGTGACTGGGCTTGAGCGTTACCATGGCTGAGAGTGGATGGCAAGTCCCCCCCCCACACCCCCGTCAGTACTTTGACTCGTTTACCAGTGCCTTCTGAGAAAACTGGAATACAGTCAGAATGGAGGAGCTTGACCCTGGTCTCGTTCACAGTAAGATTTCTTCAAGGCCAAGGCCTCTGGTGTTTCACCGCATGAAACAGACTTTCGTGAGCCCCTCCTTCATTTCCCACTGTCATAGAATGTTCACATTTAAGATACATTATACATATAGAAAATGTATGCTGAATTTTTTAATGCAAGTGTATTTCCATAGTGTTTATTTTTTCTTCTTTTTTGATTTATTCATTTTTATTTAATGTATATGAGTGTTATGCCTGCATGTGTGTAAGTGCACCCATGTCATGCAGTGCCCATGGAGGTCAGAAGAGGGTGTCGAATCCTCTGGAACTGGAGTTACAGATGGTTGTTGGCTGCCATGTGGGTGCTGGAATTCAAACCCAGGTCTTCTGCAAGAGCAGCCAGTGCTCTTAACCACTGAGCCATCTCTCCAGCCCCTTGTTTCCATACTGTTTAAAATGTTGCTGCCCATTCAAAAGGAGAGTATGCATATACACCAGCCTCAGGCAGCAGGAAGGCTACCCCCTGGAATGCTCACCATGCATGGACCATGGGTATATAGAAAGACATATTGTTTTTGTTTAAATTCAAAAGGATTGGCCAGCTCTGTCCACCTCAACACCAACTGTAGCCTTTCCCTCAGCTGGAAAAGTCAAATGAACTAATTTTTTTTATTCATTTTATTTTTATGTGTATGAGTGTTTTGCTGGCCAGCTCTGTCCACCTCAACACCAACTGTAGCCTTTCCCTCAGCTGGAAAGGTCAAATGAACTAATTTTTTTTATTTATTCATTTTATTTTTATGTGTATGAGTGTTTTGCCTGCATGCATGTAAGGGCACCTGTGTGTGCAATGTCCATAGAGGCCATGAAAGGGCACCCGATCCCCTGGAACTGGAGTTGTTAACCTCCTTGTCCATGCTGGGAACTGAACCCTGGTCCTCTTCTGCAAGAACAGCCAGTGCTCTAACCACTCAGCAACCTCTCCAGCTTCCGGATGGACTGATTCTAACTCTGTGTGTTTATTTTTGTTGTATGGCTTGGATCCATAGTAATTCCACTTGCTCCATCTCTCCCTGTCTTGTGAACCAGCAGAGCCAAGCCCAGCAGCTGGCTACTTCCTCTAGGTGCTCTCCCTGGGCCTGACCTTGCAGCCTTCCTCAGGGTGGATTTCCCCTTTTCCAGTGTGGTCACTGACCTCTTTCCCAGGGTAGACTGCGCTTCCTCCCTCCCTGTGGCTGTACCCTCAGGCACTGCCAACCGCAGTTCCACCTCCGTAACCAGGCCAGACCAGGCCACTCCCAGAGTCGTCTCCCTCCCTGAAGGAAGGATGTGGCCAGTCTGGCTCTTTCCAGGTATTTCTACATCATAGGCCATAGCAAATCTCTCCCTAGAACTGGAAAGGACTTTAAGGAATGAATGGGCCAGTATTATTGTTACACTTAGCAGAATGCTTTTCCCAGAATGCCCTGTGGCAGACAGAGCCACAGACCCTAAGAACATAGAGAAGACAGGGGCTGTCCTAAAGGAAGTACAGCTTCACTGGGGGGATGGAAAGACCACCTCAAACCCTGAGCAAGCAAAGGTAGGGGCACAGCCAAGAGTGGGCTGGGGAGCATCACACAGCCCTGCCTTCTCTCTACAGGCTGCCGGGTGCTCATCTTTCAGGAGCATTTCCTTGCCTTTTAGGAGAGCTGTGAGGTTTAGAAGCAGCACAATTGCCCCCAGGCACTGAACAGGTACCCTAAGTCCAGCATCCTCTCTCCTTCCCCTTTTTGGAGGATGCTGGCTTTCAAGATAAGGGCAGGAAGCCTCTAGTTTGGGGAAGGATGTTGAGCAAACTCCCCTCTGACTTGACCCACTTCTTGGCTCTGCCGTATGAACCACCCTCCCCACCCTGTTTCCTAAATACACGTCTGTCTCAGCTTTACTCAGTGTAACAGTAGTTAACTGCAATGCCTCAGACTAAAGGAAATGTGTACTTGGTAAAGTTTACTTTAGAGATCATTTGGATGTTTAGTTTTGCTCTAATTCTGTACTTACAGAAACCAATATCCTGGTTTGATTTGATCATGTGTGAACCACAAGCCGAGAACATCCATCTGTGATACCTGTGGTTGGGTACAGTCATGCTTTCTTATAGAAAACATTATTTGAAGTTTGTTTTTAAGTTATTATTTGTGTTTTTAAGTTATTATTACAGGCTTATTCCTGTATTTACACAGCCGTTAATCAAGCGGCGTCCTGGTTTCATAGCACACAGCTCTCTCTGTGGTCCTTGTCGGGTTTGACAGAGCCTGCTGTCTCCAGCTGTAATCCTGTTCCAGAAGCTTCTGTGTGCCACGGGACTTTGCTTTACATTTAAACTAGTCAGGCATTGAAAGACAGTTTTGAGCATCTCTGTCAGTCATCCTGGCATGGGAGAGACAGTGCCCACCTTTGGCTTCTCTGAGTTCTTGGCCCTAATCAAACAGCAAAGTCACTCTTTCTAGCATCTTTTCTGGGTCTTTTGGGAAGTGAAAGGCGTTGAGCCTTATAGGAAGCTATTCTACAAAAAGACAATTCATCTATCCCCAGAGATGCACAGTGACAACCTTCTCAGTGAGCCTTGGTCCTGCTCTTGGACTTCATGTTATCTGGGGCCTGGTGGCCTTCTGGGAACCCTCTATGGCTTTGTATGTCACTCAACATGTTATCTTCTGGTTGTTTTAGACAGCCTCCCTAGTGAATGGTGAGACACTACATACCAGCAGTTGTCGCAAATAGACTGTGTGTGTTACTGGTTTTCTGCTCACAAATGATTACATGAAACTGAGATTATCAGTGTTCCTAAGTGTGGAATTGGAGAAAAGAACCAATACCCACATGTTCTTGCAAGAGCTCTTTGTTGGGCTGGAAAGGTGGCTCAGGGGTAAAACCACTTGCTGTTCTTCCAGAGGACCTGGGTTGGACTCCCAGCACCCACATGGCAGCTCTGGCTCTGTCATCCTCTTCTGGCCTTCAAGGACAGTACACACACACACCGACAAACACCTCGTTGTTAGTATATATAAATACTATTGGTTTTTTATGCTAAATTTGCATCCGAGCTGAGCACACGCATTAGTGCTAGTGGCTTTTTTGTGAATTCTTCAGGATTTTTCTACATGGACCATCATGCCATCTCAGAAACAAGATTTATTCTTTTCCCTTTTAGTTCTTGTGTTTTGCTTCTTTATTCTTGCCTTATTGCATTGGCTACGATTTCCAGTACCACCTTAAATATGATTTCCAGTACCACCTTAAATATGACTGTTCAAAGCTGATCTGTTTATTTTGTTCCATTAGGAATAGCATTAGGTACAGATGTGTCCACATAGATTTGTTTATTTAGTTACCACAATTAGTTCTTTGTTTCTTTGTATTCAAACCCACTTCATAAGTCAACTTTTAACATTTTAACCATGTAACAATTTATAGCAGCTTGTTATAATTTGTACTGAAGAGCCTTCATTATATATGGTTTATTATATTTTGTCTTGTCAGGACTCAGATAATAATGAGCCCCATAGAAAGCATCAAATCTTGAACTAGCTATTTTTAAATAATGGCAGCTGAGACTTGATCCCAACCCTTGTGAAAGTGTGAAATCGCAGCCAAGCCAGGTCTGCATCCTCAGGTGGATGAAAGCCTATCTTCCTACGTGGCTGTCTGCTTCACAACACACAAGCGTTACGTCCATCAGCTGAGGGCCAGGCAGACAAAATGTGAGCGTGAAATACTTGTCCACAGAAAGGAATGAGTCACTCTGCATTCTATGAAACGCACAGGCCTCAGCAATGTTCTCAGTGAAAAAAGCCAGCTGCAAAAGGTCGTATATTGGATTTCCACAAAATGTCCAGAAGAAGGGACTCCATAGAGACCGAGTAGATCTGTGGTTGTCAGAGGGACGGAGAGAGGATGGGTGGGAGCCGGTGAGCTCCTAAGTGTATGTTTTCTTTTCGGATGATCAAAATTTTCTAATATTAGATTTTAATGAGGGCAATGAAATTTGCCAATATATTAAAAACTACTAAATTGCACATGTTTAGCAGGTGAATCTTGCATATGTAAATTGTATATTAATAATGCTTTTGTATATTAGTTATTGAATTTTTGTGCATTTCATACAAAACATTTAATTATCTTT